AAGGCTAAACAACCGTTCCTTGCAAATTTGACTGGTAGAAGGCTCGGGGGACGGCCAAGATTAACGTGGTGCAAATATATGAAAGAAGTCTGTTCCAGACTCCAGTTATCTTCTGCCGAAACTCAGACTCCGGAACAGGGTCGGGAACGTTGGAAGCTCTGTCTCACGCGTCTGCCTCCGCGGCCTGAAAGTAGAAGCGGCCATGGAAGATGAAGCCTACTCGGTGTTTAAGAATATTTAAGTAAACTTAAATTATATTAACGTTTCGAATGAAGCACAGTTTACTGTGTCGACCATCAAAACGGGCAAGTTCGATTTGGTTTAAACTACAGAAACGAAACCAACTAAAACAAACACGGCTATGGTGAGTAAGAATCGTCATCAGGTACCTGTAATGATGACGTTACAGTCATCACCCGAGTATTTGCTGGCACACACAAGAAAAGATGCCGCCTCGTTGACGTTCGCCACTGCAAGACCGTCGCCACTAGCGACGCAAGCCACAGTGTCGCTGACTTTGCACACCATAGGGCTGCCTAAAGATTTTAAATCTATAAACATGTAAACGGAACATACACAAAACACATCAACTTATTTCACTTATTCACTCGTCCTATTAATCAGAAAATAGCTGCATATAAATCAAACAATTGAGCGATTTGGGTGACACAGAGAACTGTCAACTTGTTGGCAAGGATTAATGAAACAACGGCTAGTGTCACTCAAACAAACCTCAATATTACACAATTTCAACTAAACCTTCTACTCTAGATTTTAAGATTCCGCCGTCAAACGATGTAGAATCGCGTTATTAACTAAGTGAAGTTAACAGACTAGCGCCCAAATAACCTGTTACCATGAAGCAGTATAGCTTGAATAAAGAAAAGCAATAGCCATCGGCATACTCATATTTAGTTAGCATGAAAAAACACGGGTAAATCGCAGCAGAAAGTCAATACAACGACTTAATACTCATCGACGCAATGCTGTCATTGATAGCCGAATTAATAGCAGAATGCGATATATTCCCAATCGTTCAGGACAGCTTAAAATTTAGAATAGAAATGAATTTAATGGCTATTATTAGCTGAAATTCCCTTACTATCAGCTTCAAAAATACATGGTTTGAACACAAAGCATGAGTTGTGTCAAAAGTTACCTGATCATAGTTTTACTGTTGAAATGAAACAGCGAGTCTATTTCGGCAGAAAAAGAAACGATATGAACATCACAAAACAAAACATTTGAATACCGGTAATCTAAACAGTGAGCAGCACAGAAAACTGGTACTTCACAACCCTGACTGTACGAGAGTGACAATGAGACATCATTCATCCACTCCTGTGACAATATGAACATCGATATGAGAAAATAACTCTGCACTAATATAATGATGCTGCTCGTTGTCGACAGATCTTTGATCACCTGGCACTGTGCCCCATAGAACGTATTCGTTTGGTAGCGAACAGGGACCACTGGAAAAGGCTCATGAAGTAATTGCTTCAGTGACCCAACAGCACTAATGAGCTTTGAAAATGAATGAATGAATGAATTAAACGTTTCAATTGCTTCGAAAAGGGCAGCTAAATAAAACAGCGAAAACGTGACCTTTTGAAGCAGTTTCAACGCTCGCTAACCCGACACAGCTATTACAGAAGTAATGTGCGTGATCAATAACAAACCCGTCCGTTTGACCAACCGCCCCCGTGCACTACAGGCATCCAACATGGTAATATACCAAAACCAGGACACTGTTAAGTTACCTGGAACCGGCTCGTCGTTGAACTTGACGCTGATCATGTGCACCTTAGGTTCTTGTGGCGTGAACGTCACCTTGAACTTTGCGTTTCCCTCTGACTGCACGTAATTTGGAACGTTTCTACCGTCGACCGAAACGATGATCTCCATGCTTCCGGCGCCGGCGCTCGAAGCATCAACTGCAAGTAAAAACGAAATATGTATTTTGCAAGAAATCGTACACTTAAGCCATGCATCCACTCGAACCTCTGGTCATTGTCATACAAAACTGCGACCAAGACAACGCATACAGAGCCAGCTCAATTTTTAAAAACGAGAAGAAAATCATAGAACAACGCTATAATACAATTAATGAATTTGGACAGGCAAAAGCTTCCGTTTTCCAGGCGAGGCCGAAAACGGCTAGACGTTTCGAATGTTGCAAAAATTATTAAACACGAGCATTATCTGAGAAACAAGCAGGTATCTTGATGAGTAAACGCGTTAGCGGTCAATATAACGGCAGAACTATGAGTTAGCCGCAATCAAATCACAAGCAGCGTTTGC